CTCCCTTTCTGCGCTGCTGCGTCAGTTTTATTAGAGCCTGGTCTTTCTGGGACCCGTTTCCCGGACTGAAGCTTTCTCCTCCTTCTGGGCAAGATCCTTTTTCAGTTTCTCCTCCGGAGTTATCCAGTCTCCCGGAGAAACACGCTTGGGCATCCCCCCAATTTCACGAAGGAGGTGTACTTCCTCTTGACTTTTCTCTTGAGCCTTGCGTACTTGTCACTTCGTTTTTCGAACTGGGAGGGGAATGATGAAAAGTTTTTCTGTCCACAGTACCTCTATTCCCAGTCCCCGCCTCGGCATCCGTCCTGTGGAAAAACTGTGGATCAAAAACCACAGGCGAGACGGTCTTCTTGACAAAAAAATGTTCCAAACATATTTCTTCAAGAAGTTCTTGAAGAAGTTGGAGATGAAGGCTTATCTATTCAATTCCGCTTCAAATCTCCGCCATCTTATTCAGTATGCGCCGTGTACGCCGGGTGTTATGTTCTCAACGCTCAAGACTGCCATATCCGCCGATATTTTATTTATCGTGCGCCTTGCACGCCAAATGTTCTATGTACGAGGCCGAAGACCATAATCTGAAACTTAACAAAAAGATCTTAGTATCACTTTTTTTTGTTTCGATAAGGAATAAATTAATACTAGGCTCTGAATGATCATTCATCTATTATTTTTTTTATTTACTCCCTTTCTTCTTGTCTATCACAATAAGGTGCTAACCTATCCGTATGTACGATTTTATTTTTACACTTATTTGACTTGCGAATACAATACATGACATCACTGAGTTTCTTTACCATATAGTATGGTCCTTCGCAGCTGTTTTGCAATTTTGGAACTTTACCTTTAACTCTTCGAGGATTGTATAACCAAACCTTTTGCCCTATCTCAAAATGAATTCGCCTGATCATACCAGGTTTTCTGATCATACCAGGTTTTAGTGCGAGAAGATTTTATATCAACACGATTCCTAACCTGATCATGAATTCCCTTTAATTTCCTTTTAATCTTGCCTAAATAGCTATCCACTGACTGTTCTTCCGGTACAGGAGGGTTTCCTCGAAGCAAATCTATAGGTCTAAGATCCTG